CCGTCCCTTCCTTCCTTTCCTTCTCCCCAACTTCCATCTCTTCAGTCTCCTCTCCTGCTTCGTTCCTCTTCTCTGCTCTCCTTGTCTTCTCCGCGTCTCTCCTCCCTCTCCTCCCTTGCCTGTAGCTCTTTTTCCCCTTTCCTCGCCTGCCCGTGTCTCTTCTGTCTTCTCTCTTTTGTCTTTCCCCAAACCATTCTCTTCCTCTCTTCTTAAAGCTGGCCCTTCTCCTTCTTTCTCCCTGTGCCCTGCATCCCTAATACCATTCCCGTCCCATCCCCATTCCCACCATCTGCCATCCCTTCCCTCCCTTCCCTCCCTCCTTGCAAGCCTTCTATCTCGCGCTCATCCTTTCCTCCCTTTACTCTCTCCTTCTCTCCCTTCTCTCCCTTCTCTCCCCCCTCTTCTTCCTCTTCCGTTCTTCCTCCCTCTCTCCCACCTCCCTTCTCTTTCCCTCCTTCCTTCCCCCATCTCCCTTTCCCTCCTCTCCTTCCTCCCCCTCTCCACCCTTCTCCTCCCCTCCCTCTTCCGCCTTCCCTGCCGCCTCCTTCTCCTGCCCCCCATCCTTCCCCCTCGCGCCCTTCCCCCCCCTCCCCCCGCCCCCATCCTTCCCCCTTTCAACGACTGTATATACCTCAGCAACAAGGTAGGCTTCCCCCCAACCTTCCCCCCAGTCCGTCCAACGTCCTCCTTCCGCCTCACAGTCGAATTCCAATGATTCTTCACGTTGTTATCCGTCCGCCCAGGCAGCAGCTTCGCAATCTCCGCCCACTTGTTCCCCACGCGCTTGTGCGCCTCTATCAGCGTCTCCTCCTCCTCCTCCGTCCACGCGTCCTTCTTGATCCCCAGCTTGAGGTGGTTGTGCCAGCGCTCGCGGCACTGCTTCCCCGCGCGCCCCTTGAGGTGCGCTGCTATGGCGGACCACCGCCGCGCCCCCCCCCTCTCCACCAGCCGCCGCAGAATCTCGTCCTCCTCCTGCTCTTGGGGGGGGAGGGGGAGAGAGCAGGGTGAGAGAGGGGGAGGTGGGTGGTGAGAGGGAGAGAAAGAAACCTTCCATGTGAGCTGCAGTAGCAAGCAAGAAGGGCAGCACTGCGCTCCTCCCCTCTCCACCAGCCGCCTCAGAATCTCGTCCTCCTCCTGCTCTTGGGGAGACGGGTGGGGAGAGCGGAAGGAAGAGAAAATCTGCAGACGGTTTTGAGGTGCAACAATGAAGGTACGTACTACTGTCAACCGCACCCTGTGACGCAGGAACGTACCGGCGTCCACTGGCCTTTAGCGTTCGTGCTGGCGCGGGGAGCGCCATCTCCGCCCTCCTCCTCCTCCCCCGACCCCTCCCCATCGCTCTCCCCTTCCGCCATCCCCGCGCCTCCTCCCCCATCCCCCACACCTCCGCTCACACACCCCCCGCCCGCCATACCCCCGCTCACGTACCCTCCCCCTGTGCTTCCCCCTCCTAGCCCAGACCTGGGGAAGCAGCCATGTGCGCTGCTAGCGCCACCCTGTGCGCTGCTAGCGGCGCCATGTGCGCTGCTGGCAGCAGCGGCGGCGGCAGCAGCAGCCAGAACTGCAGACAGGTCGTGGCAGCCCGCTAAAACCCCCAACCCCTCGCCCGCCGTCAGTCCCAGCCCCTCACCTGCCCTTAACCCCAACCCCTCTCCTGCCGTCACTCCTTCTAAACCCAACCCCCTAGCCCCTCCCCAGCTTCTCGTCGCTTGCTGCCCGCCGCGATCCTGGTTCCAGGGCTCGGGATTCGTTGGCATCTGCCCCAGCTGCCCGTAAAAAGACGGCAGCGGCTGATTCCCTGCACCAGAGTGAATCATGTCAGAGTTGGTTGGTATGGTAGCTGAGTGGTATCCGCTCCCGGTGCTGCTCGATACAGTACGGTCGGGAGGGAGGCTATTAGCGAGCCCTGACATTCTCATCAGCTCTAGTAATGTCAGGTTACCACCTGCCCCAGTTCCCCCCTCCTCCCTGCAGGTGACACCTGGGGGGGAGCTGCAGAATGCCGCTGAAAAAAAGCACCCCCTCCTGCTGGCGCCTGGAAAGCACCCCCCCCTGTTAGGCGCCTGAAAAGCCCCTCCCCCGAGTAGCGCCCCCGCCAGCAAGCTTTCCAGCCTTCCCCCGCCATCCCCGCGCCTATCATCGTTGCGCTGTCCGCGGCGTATCCTCCGCCTCCCCCTGTTGCTGCATGCCCACCTGATTCTTCCGCCCCCCAGGCCTGGAGTCCCGAATTCCCTCCGCCAGGCAGCGCAGGCGCGGGGAATCCCCCTGCCTTCCGCCATATCCTCCGCTAGCACTGCCTCCCCCCGCCATTCCGCCACTCCGTCCGCCACACCATGCTTCCGGACGGGGAAACAGGGCCATCAGCGGAGATAAATCCGCGGAAGGACCCTGTTGCTTGGCCTTGGGGGGTGTTGTTTGTTCCGGTTTCGCCTTGTGCGAAATAATTATCCTGTCGTGCGAGAGTACTTCCTTGTTGTGCGATAGCGCTTCCTTGTGCGACAGCACTGAGCGACCCCTGCGACTCCCATAGTCGTTGGATGTCGCGGAACTGATCGTAAGCATCCCGAGGGAGCCTGAAGTGACGTTTCTTTGCCCCTACTGTCGGCCGCATTCGCCGCGTTGAACGCGTTAACTGCATTGACTGATTGTTGGGACTGCGAAGGAGCCCCCCTCGAAAACTGCGCCGGGGAAAGCGACTGCTGCTTCGCTGCTGCTGCTGCTGCTGCTGGGCGGGGGAAATAACCGTTCACGCCATTGCATTGCCAGCGATAACGCAGTTATTTTCTTGTAAAAAAGAATAATGCGCTGAGTTTCCGGAAAACAATTTATACTGGAGATCTACCACCGCCGAGTACTCGCCAGAACTCGCGCTTCCCGCGGGGATCCGACGGTAACCCTATTCGCAGTTGCAGTCGCAGCGAAATGTAACGTCATCATTGCTGGGGATCATAGTAGTAGGCTCGAAATCTGTAGTTTGACTCACTCTAGGATCCTCGACAGGGCGCCACGCCGGTCACCAGCCAAAGGTGCACGCCCCTTGCACATTTCCTACCAAATTCATTCACGCGGTTTTCACTGCTGCTCGACTTTAATCTCCCGCGCAATTTCCAGGTTCTGTTGTGGAATACCTGTCCGCTTCAGACTATCAGGGGCGTATTCATGAAGCCGGAAAAGGCAACCACTTCTGTGAAATGACCGTTCACTCTACACTTTTTCAGTCGCGACTTCGACAACAATAAAATGTTTCAAGAAAGAAACCGTGCCGACAATCTCTGTTTCAAACACGCTATGGAATTTTGTGCTTGACTCTGTGACGGGGGCACTATAACCATGCGTGGCTTGGCGGGAACGAGAAATCTGTGATGTCACTGGCTGGTCTGCGTGTTGAGACATGACATGGCATGTCCCTTGAATGAAGGTCTGGGCTGGGCGCCAGGCAACCATTGGTGAACGCGAGGGCGTGAGGTTTGATTGGATGAGATGAAAGCAGGCGAACCGTGTTGACTGGGTATCGTGTCGCGCACTGTACGACTGTTGTGTGCACTTGGGACTACTGTAATTTGGTGCTGACGTGGGTCGACGAGCGGATCTGGTCTGAGAATTTGTGCAATACAGTACATTGCCTACACGTGGAGGAATCAGAACCCCCAATGCTAAGCGACAGCTACCGTTACTTGATAAGCAATTGTTCGAGGCTTCGAAGACGACAAATGTAGGCGACCCAAAGTTTTGTCTGTATACGGTTATAACGGCCGTCCACTGTCCAATCATTTGTCTCCATATGTTTTTCAAAGTTGAAGAACCGTCCAACGGTCTTGCTCAAGAAACCACACAATAAAGAAACGACTAATGTATTGTACACGTTTCCCTCCATGTACATGTTATTTTAGCTGCCGTGTGCATAGATCATACCTGTCAAATAACCAAAATGCTGCCATGAAATCCCTGGACTTCCCCTCCCCATGGGCTTTCGCACTACAGATGAATCCTTGATTCCACGATGGCTGGTAAATGGGACGGAAAAAACTTACGGTTGATGAGAGAGCAATTTTTTTGCCAAAAACACCATTCAATCAAGATTTAGGATCTTCATGGGGAGAGACCAGGATGAGGGGGTGGCTCTGGATTGTCAAGGTCCATGTCTAACGCTGCGTTTGGCTCTAGATGTGAAATGCGAATGGTTCCTAGAAGCTTCTCCGGGAGCTCCTCGTCTGTGTTTCCCTGCAAGTAACGTAAATAGTGTACACCATAAGCAACTTTTTACAAACCAACCACAATGCAAACAGTGGATCAATAGCACATTAGAATATATATATATATATATATATATATAGTGCCAGTACAATACCTGGATTAAGAATGCCATGTCGATGATGAGTGTACGGACGTATCCTAGCACGAATCTCACCACCCCATTGGCCACAAGCTGATGACCCAATATCCACATCCACCTGCATTCCAGTGGTGTCATAGGGAGAGTGTGGAAACAGTACAAAAAAAAACATCACTTCATACATTCAAAGAGGGCTCATGCATTACAAACAATGCCACAACATGACAATTCAACTTCCATCACATACTTGGCAGATTACTGTACCTCAAAGCAGTGTACCTCAAAGCACTGTACCTCCAAGTACCGTACCTCAAAGCACTGCACCTCAAAGCACTGTACCTCAAAGCACTGTACCTCAAAGCACTGTACCTCAAAGTCGTCGGGTCCTTTGAAGTACTGCACGGTGAGAGCACCACAATGATGAGAGGTTGTCGTCCCCACACTCCTCTTCACCACCCATGCGCCCTGCCATGTACCAGCGCCAATGGCAAAAAAAAAAAAAAAAAAAAAAAACATCAGATTACAGTATGGCCAATACATGGAGACATGAGAGGGTGATTGCACAAGCGAGGCAGATTAAAGTGGCACATGTCTGCTGCATGGATGGTATAGCAGAGCACACCGACACACAGAGCACACAGAGCACACAGAGCATACAGAGCATACACTCACACACCCACCTGGTGGATGCAGGGAATGAGCTGAAGCGTGTGTTGCGGAAGATGTCATCCCCGTTGATGCTGCCCAGCATGGACCGCATGCCCGTGCAGTAGGGCAATACACACACACCTCATAGATGCAAAACAGTGCACACGGCGCAGTGCACTCTCACACCCACCTGGTGGATGCGGGGAATGAGCTTGAAGCGTGAGTTGCGGAAGATGTCGTCCCCGTTGATGAACTGCCCTAGCATGGATGAATCTGTGGGCGGCTCCTCCATGGCCCAGTAGAACACCATGCTGTACTGCTGCGCTGCCGGCACCTGGTGGGGTGAAATTGATGTAAGAGAATGGGTGACAGGCAGAGCAATGAGCACATGTCCCACACAGCGCCCCTCCATGGCCCAGTACAACACCATGCTGTACTGCTGCGCTGCCGGCACCTGGTTGGGGTGAAATTGATGTAAGAGAATGGGTGACAGGCAGAGCAATGAGCACATGTCCCCACACAGCGCCCCTCCATGGCCCAGTACAACACCATGCTGTACTGCTGCGCTGCCGGCACCTGGTGGCATTTGTGGCATGTGGGTTATACAGGTGGTATACGGGTGATGTTTTGAGGATTGAGAGAGTATGACCATGCACGCCTCTGTGGGCGGCTCCTCCATGGCCCAGTGGAAACACCATGCTGTAACTGCTGCGCTGCGGCACCTGGTGGACGTGAGAGAATGAGAATTCAGGAGGAAAGCAGAACATGTGAGTGGGCCGCAATAAGCAGTGCCCCCTTGACGCTCATCTATGGCCGAATAGAACACCATGCCTGTACTGCTGCGCTGCTGGCACCTGGTGGCGGTTGTGACATGTGGGTGGGGTATATGGGTGATGTTGACGCATGAGAGAGTGCCATGGAGGTGTTGCCAGCAACGCTCATCCATGGCCCAGTAGAACACGCTGTACTGCTGCGCTGCTGGCACCTGGTGGCCTGTGAGGGGTGTGTGAGGTATATGGTATGGGTGATGCGTTAAGGTGTGATAGAGTGCCATGTGGGTGATTCCTCATGGCCATGAAGAAGTACGGCCGCGGTGAGGCGTCAAGCACTGCTGGCCATCGTCTTTGCCCCACCTCCCCTACTCCCCCCATGCCCCAACTGACACCCATTGATCCAATCACCTACCCCCCCCCCCACGCACCTGCATATTCACAATGAAAAAGTATGGCCGCGACGAGGCGTCACTGCTGGCCCACTGCCCCACCGCCCCCACTCCCCCACCGACTCACTCACTGCCCCACCCTCTCCCACTGCCCCACAACCCCAACTGCCCCACCTTCCCCCCCTCGCACCTGCATATTCACAATGAAAAAGTATGGCCGCGACGAGGCGTCACTGCTGGCCATCAGCTCGCGCATTCCCTGATAACCAGGCACAGGGGAAGATGGGGGTGGGGAAAATGGGAAGAAATGGGGGAAAATGGAGGGAAAATGGAAGGAGAATGGGGGGAGATGAGCCAAAATGGGGCGGTGTATGACACAGATGCTACCAGAGACAGCGGAGGAGCAGACTCAGTCACATGCACAGGAGTCCGTTTGAGCTTCGCCACATGATCAATCTTCTCCACTCGCTTCAATCAATCCACAGCCACCAATCAATCGTTGGTCCCACCCATTCCCACCCCGAAACCTCTACAGCTGTGTTGCTAGATTCCACATGCGCACTAAGAAAAGCGCACACACACTCATAAGCACCACAATCAGCAAACTCACATGCACGGGGGTCCGCTAGAGCTCCACCACATGATCAATCCTCTCCACGAGTTTCAGCCAATCCACAGCCACCAGTGCTGGTCCATTTCCAAGACCTCTATCGACTGAGTTGTTACATTACTCACATGCATGGGGGTCTTTTTAAGCTCCACCACATGATCGATCCTCTCCACGCGCTTCAGCCAATCCACAGCCACCAGCGCTGACCCATTTCCACCCATGAACCACCATAGGCGCAAAATGCACAAAAAGCGAAAGCACGCTCACATGCACGGGGGTCCGTTTCAGCTCCACCACATGGTCAATCCATGGTCATCCTCCACCACATGGTCAATCCTCTCCACCACATGGTCAATCCTCTCCACCACATGGTCAATCCTCTCCACTCTCTTCAGCCAATCCACTGCCACCAGCGCCATCCCTGGCTGCCCCGCACTCGCAAAGCATGCATGCCCGCACACTCACTAACAAGCACTGCAGTGAGAACACTCACATGCACGGGGGTGCGCTTGAGCTCCACCACATGATCAATCCTCTCAACGCGCTTCAGCCAATCCACAGCCACCAGCGCCATCCCCGGCTGCCCCGCACTCTGCTTCAATCTTATCCCTCAAATAGCTCTTCGACCGCACTGTAAAGTTCCGAACCTCCCGCCTCGCTCCAGCAGTTAATCCCCCCCATCGGCGACCCCCGGGCCAGGTTCCCCGTCTTGTACGCCCATGCCCATGGGTCTACCGAACCTGCCGCCCTTGCCGAACCAGCTAGTCGAGACCCGGTGGAGGGTCGGGAACCTAGCTGCCAGAACCGAGGAGAGGCCACAGGGAGAGTTTCAGTCAGGAGAGCCTTAGCAGCAACTGCTGCGTCTCCTGCTGCTGTTCCTGCTCCTCTTGCTCCAAAGAAACTGCTAGTGCCGGGTAAGGGCTCTGATACAGTGCTCCCGGCATCGCTAACCCGCTGAACTCACCACCCATAACGTCCCCACTGCTGCCTCTCCTCCTCTCTCGTCCCACCCCCTCCACCTCATCAAACCCCTCCCCTCCCCCTTCTGGTATTGGTCCAATCCGCCCGTCCTCCCGCTCCCCGCCTGCTCCCCTTCCTCCCACCCCCTCCAAGCTCCCTCCCTTCTGCAGCCGCTACAGCCGCGGCTGTAGCAGCAGCTGTAGCCTGCTGGGTATCCCTCAACCCTAGCAGCGCAGCCAGTGAATCCCCCCTCGTCTGCGCGAAAAACTCCCGAATGCCCGCAAACCCTCGACAGCAGGTAGAAATGCACTTCGGTCGCAACACCGCTGCACATCGGCAGCAACCCCTTTGCATCCATCTGCAACACGTGCATCACTACCGACCGTCCGATCGCGGACGGCCCCGCTGGGGCGATGATAAACCCTCCGTAGGTGAGATTGGCACGCACACAGCCCATGACAGGGGGGCATAGGGGGTGCTCCATGGATTGGTAAAGGACCACGTAGCAGCCGTCGCCTGTGCGCTGCCAGTAGCGCCGCAGGCACACGTCGCGCGCTGTGAGGGTGAAGGGGCCGAAGCCGACTGGGAGCGGTCGGAAGCGGTAGTGGATGCAGTCCGTGTGACCGTCTTGAGCTTCTACCATTCGTGCACCCCCGTATGCCACGTCCCACCTGGTAACAGAGAAGCACAGGAAGGGGGAGGGACAGGAGTGGATGCAGTCTGTGGGCTAGGTCTAGGGATGACTGGTAGTAGGCAGAAGCAGTAGTGAATGCAGTCTGTGTGGCCGTCTTGTGCCTCTACCATGCATGCACCACCATATGCCACGTCCCGCCTGGTGAGAGACGGCAAGAGAAGAAGGATTGGGACAGGGCAACGGGCAGAGGGCGGAATTGGTAGTGAATATAGTCAGTGTGGCCGTTGTTGTGGGAGGAGGAGAGGTCGAGCACGAGTCAGAAGACGACGGCATCGCTGGGAGCATTTTGAGTCGGACTCAAAATTTACCAGGAGATCAGCAGGGGCAACTTGCAACTTAGAAAAGTAGGAATTAGAGGCGTACTCGTTGCGCGAGGAGGAGAGGTCGAGCACGAGTCGGAAGACGGCGTCACTGGGAGCGTCCACTGTTCCCACGGCACTCAGACACGGCAGACTGCCACACATGCCCGCCTGCCCGCGCTCCTCGTTCAACTCCTCAAAGAAGCGCAGCCCTGGAAAGACAGGTGGACAGGCGATAAGAGGCAAACGGAGGCAGCAACAGGAGGTGAAGTGAATCAATGTGCGAAGTGCAAGGCGATCAAAGAGCCCTTTGCCTTGTGGAAGGCGATCAATGTGCGTACTACCCGTTCCCTGAAGGTTCTTCTCACATGAACCCTGACGAGCTCTTCATGGTGTTCATGTGAGGCGTAAACCTAGAGAGAGAGAGAGAGACCAGCGATACAAAGGTTGCTGAATGAACGGGTAAGGCTGCACACTGAGTTCCCATAGACCCACCGTTGGATAGCTTGATGAGGCGCCAGGAGCCGTCGGATGCGATCCCTGATGCTGTTGATGCACTGCGCATCGCCACCATGGCCTCCAGCATGCTGCCCAGCTCCATTGGGGGGCCTGGGGGGAAGGAGGATGAGAGTGCAGCACACAGAAAGGGAGGCATGCATGGCATCAAGCATGCTTCGATGTGTGCAATGCACTGCCCTGTCCTGCACTTCGCATCGCCACCATGGCTTCGAGAGCATGCCGCCCAGCTCCATGGGAGGCCCTAGTGTGAGGAAGAAACAACGGACGCATACGGGGGGCAGGCAAGCATGCTTCAATGCGTGCACCGCTCTGCCTTGCCTCCTCTAAGAGCATTCAATGCTGCAATGCCTCGAGCATTCCTCCCAGCTCCATGGGGGGCCTTGGGGGGTAGGAAGATGATTCGCAAGGGCAAAGGGAAAGGTTGGCAGCAGGCAGCATGGAACCACAGGGAAGCAGACCTACCGTAGTCAATGGAGCCTCGTCTGTCGAGCAGCACTCGCTGCGGTGTTGGCAAGTCGTGTTTTGAGGCCTCAGATGAAAGGCACTCCTACTACCAACCAATAAAGCCACTTCTAAGCACACCTACCAAAGCCAATGGAGCCTCGTCTGTCGAGCAGCACTCGCTGCGGTGTTGGCAAGTCGTCTGCTCCCATCTCGTCCCCGTCGAATGGCTCACTGCTGTCCATAGAGTCACGACAGCTGGTGGGGATAAATGGCGGGTGGAGGGGAGAATGGGAAAGAGATGGAATGGAGGGTGGCTAAGTGGAAGGGAACGGACCTGCACGACGGACGTCCTCTCCCACCATCTCATCCCCGTCGAACGGCTCACTGCTGTCTATTCTGCTAGGTTATTGAAAATGGGTAACTTGCTGTCATAAGTAGTGCAGTGAGGCAAAAAATCAGGTGCTGCGCGTTGAGCACGTGAGGGGTGAGGTGAAAATTCGCATTGTTCCTTGAACAAAGTGACTTTTGAGTCGACTCAAAAGTCAACTCGCATTGTTCCTTGAACAGAGTGACTTTTGAGTCGACTCAAAAGTCAACTCGCATTGTTCCTTGAACAGAGTGACTTTTGAGTCGACTCAAAAGTCAACTCGCATTGTTCCTTGAACAAGACAGCGGTGCTGGTTCTGGATTAGAGTGCAGTGCATGCACGACATGGTGGGGTGCGGGTGAGAAATGGAATGCAGGACGACATGGTGGGGTGAGGTGGCGTGTGGGTGAGAGAGGGAACGCACGAGGACATGTTGGGGTGTGGGGGCGTTTCCCCCTCCTCCTCGTCCGATAGGCTGTTGGTGCTGGTGGGGCGAGTGAGCGGCATTCTGATAGTGGGCGCCACGTTCTGGTGTGGATGAGTGGGAGAACACCACGAGAGACGGGAAACGAGGGCGGGAAAGAGAAAAGAGGGGTGAGGGGGATGTTTCGAGAGCATGTAAAGCATCCGTCCTCGTCTGACAGGCTGTTGGTTGCTAGGTGGAAGCAACTTCCTGATCGTTCATGTCATGTGCAGTGTGAGGGAGAGGACGAGAGGGCAGGAGGGAGGCGGAAGCAGGACACGAGCACAAGACCATGGGCGAGCAAGAAGAATTGGGAGAGAGGGGCAGCAAGGAGAGGGTGACCTGCGAGGAGGAGGCGATGGGGAAGCTGTTTCTGCCGGTCTCACAAGCACAATCACGTGATGCTAATGGATGATTTGCACCGCTCAATCTCCTACTGCTGCTGTGCTCACATGTTCTATTGTCTCCCGAATGGCTTGCATTGCATCCACACTGCCACTAGCTTTGAGGCGCCTCATTGAAGCATGTTATGCTATGCACCACAGAAATTTCTAATGCTGTGCTCACATCACACGCTCTACTGCCTGCTGTGCTCACATGCTCAATTGTCTCCCGGATGGCTTGCATCCACACCGCCACTAGCTTTGATTGAGGCGCCTCATAAATGCACACTATGCACCACCATAGCTCACATGTTCTATTGTCTCCCTGATCGCTTGCATCCACACCGCCACTAGCTCAGGGTCCTTGGTTCCCACCTGTAACAGGACAGGGGGCGGATGGGCGCATAGGAGCATGGGAGGGGTGCAGAGGAGTACAGGAGGGGAAAGAGGAGAACGGGAAGGCAAAGAGGGCCAGAGGAGGGCACAGAAGAGCATTCAAGCAACAGTAGATGCATGCATGGATAGTGTCAAGTGGGAAAAAACGGATGATAGAGAGTGCATGGTCACCCATGAGCAAGGCAAAGAAAAGGAGCCATTCATCATGCTGTAAGGGAGTACACCCACCAGACACGGCTTGGGAAGCTCTGGGTGTATACAGAAGGTGTAGAGCTCCTGGCAATTGACAAGAAGAAACAGTAGAGTGTGCAGAAAACAGAGGAATGTCAGGAGCAGCCCTGATAGGGTCAGAGCTATTGAGGCACAAAGCTCCAGAATTTCATAAGCAGCGCAACCACAGGCAGCGCACAAGCAAGCAACACACAAACGTGTAGCACAGAAACAGGCAGTACAGGTGTGACCTTGGTGTTGGTGGAATCTACTTTTGAGGCGCCTCAAAAGCAAGCATCACACAAACGTGTAGCACAGAGACAGCAGTGCAGGGGTGACCTTGGTGTTGGTGGAAATCCGGCCTGTGTCCTCCACACGACATCTGGGCGTGAGATCAAACTCCTTCACCGGAATCTGTGTGGCGTGTGTGGCAGGGAACAACAATGCGGGAGGGAAGGGGGGCGTTGAGGGGGAGGAGAGGGTGGGGACAAGGGGAGGGGGGAAGGGAGAGGGGAAATGGGGAGGGGGATAGTGGTTTGGGGAAAATGGTTGGGTTGGGGAAGGTGCTGCTTAGTCTTCCCAAGGGGGGCCAAGGGATGGTGCAGAGCGGTCAGCTCGTATCATCCCAGAAGCTATCCTCGCGAAAGTCATAACACTATCTTCCCACCGCGAGCGCACCTCGTGCTGCCACGGCAGGCTGCGGAAGTAGCTGATTTGCTGCGCGCGCAGCACGAAGTCTCTAGGTTTGAGACGACTCAGAACTCGTTACCCCATCCCATCCCCTCCCCCCCCCTCTCCTCTTTCCCCCCCAGCGCGAGCGCACCTCGTGCTGCCACGGCAGGCTGCGGAAGTAGCTGACGCGCTGCGCGCGCAGCATGAAGTCTCTAGGTTTGAGACGCCTCAGAACTCGTTACCCCATACCATCCCCCTCCCCCCTCCCCCCCCTCTCCACACTCCTCCATCGCGCACCTCGTGCTGCCAGGGCAGGCTGCGGAAGTAGCTGATGCGCTGCGCGCGCAGAACGAAGTAGCGCCGCGCCCAGTGGTGGCCGAACGGCCGCGACTTGGACTGCTTGTACAGCCACCCCATCAGCTTCACCTCCCGCGACATCTGCTCGATCGCTGACGTGGACAACCCGCCGCTGGGTCTCCGCCGGGTCCTGCGGAATGAGATAGGTGCGAGGTGAGGTGAGGAAAAGCGGTTCGGATTTCTAGTGTTGAGACTGCTTGTACAGCCATCCCATCAGCTTCCCTTTCCACGGCATCTGCTCGATCGCTGACGTAGACAAACCGTCGCTGGGTCTCCGCCGGGTCCTGCGGGAACAGATAGGTGCGACGGTGGAGGGGAGGCTTGTTAGAGTGTGGGACCTGGTTCAAACTTTCTCAACGCTTCATCTCCCGTGAAATCTGCTCGATCACTGATGTGAACAGCCCGCTGCTCGGTCGCCATTGGTTCCTGAGGAAACAGATTGGTGTGGAGATGGAAGGTTGCTGAAATGCAATATCTGATATAATCCACCCCCAGCTTCATCTCCCATGATATCTGCTCGATCGCTGACGTGAACAGGCCGCTGCTAGGTCTCCGTTAACGTCTGAGGAAACAGAAAGGTGGGTGAATAAGAAGCTTGTCTAATGGTTCCCTCTGATAACCCTAGTTACTGATTATCGATCCGGGAAATTGCAGAGGATTGCAAACCAGAATGGATAATTCGATTCCGCATAAATGCCTAACTCGCAAAAGCTTCTCCAATCCCCTTTCGGGTCTGTTCAATTATCACCTTCGGTCGGACCCCGGCTCTGACTCGCCGCGAGGGAGTGATGAGCTCCTCGCCCTCTCCTCCCCATTTCCCGGTGTCGATTCTAGGCTCGCCATCGTCGCCCCTGTACAATCCGTAATGAGTCCTTTATACCCGAGGTCGTATTACAAGCCTCGCGATCTTTCTGATTGGAGCTATCATGTCAACGAGACGTCAGGAACCTGGTCTGGGCTCACTGCGGACCAGATTTCGACAGGCGAAGAGATGATTTTAAAACCCAGGGTCCACAGGTTTCAAAGGTAGGAAGGTTGGTTGGACTTAGTGACAAAACCAAAGGTAGGAAGCTTGGTTGGACTTTGTGACCCAACCAAAGGTAGGAAGGATGAGGCAACTTCGGGATACTTGAGACTCCGGTTTTAAGAGCCCGTATGGAGAGGATATATTTTAGGGCTTGCAGCGGTCGGAACAGAATCAAGTGATACTTGGGAGAGGACAGACTAACCGCTCCGGAACGTCGATACCTTCGTATTGCAACTACGATGCCGTTAGCTGACTGAAGTCTGGGCCTCGATAACAGACCAAGTCTAGGCGGGAGCTACAAAAAAAAAAAGCCTTCGGTTCAGTACGGTGCTGGACGATTTGAAACTTATTATCTGGACGTCTGAAGCGGTTGTGATGGACCAAATGAAACATTTGGGATCGCACACCCAAAAAGTGCACAGGGAGCTCCACAATTGTGGGACAGGGCGGGTCACAGCGGCGACGATCCCGAGATGGAGACTCTTGCCTTGAACCAGATCGAATGGCTGGAATTCATCAGATGGGTGGAGTTCCTTAGGCGCACAGAGTAATGGCTCCTGCTTCGGTTTCGTGAATTGTGAATTGGGTGCTTCCTGCACTTGGCTGGTCACAGAAATAATTGTCGGTGACTCGGCAAAGTCAAACTGGTTCTGTTCAGGAGGATAGTTGTCCGGTTAACTCGTGAAGGTAGAAAGCACAAGGAGTTTAACATCGCTAGAAAAAGCTTAGCAGTTTGGTGTACAAAAGGCGCAAGCACTCCTCTTTTCCTTCTTCAACGGCGACACGATTCAACTCTGAGTTCCCTTCTGCGTTTAGGGTTAGTGAACTCTGAAACCCTCGCACTTATGGACGTTCACGATATTTCCCTCGCCATGCAGGCTTCACTTCAGCTCGGAACCGCGTTTCTGGTCCTCCACGTCTGCAAGTTGCAGCCATTAAAGGCGCCAAAGTTGCCTCGTAGAGGAAGTGGCACAGCCACTAGTATCAGCATTAATAAATATATAACGTACAGCGCAGTTCACTTAGAAAGCTTCAGGTGGAGAGTTGGACAAAGAGAGTCCTAATTTCCATAGGCCCGAGTTCCACAATATAAGTGGAATTATCAATGTCACGGCCTGTTATAGCCTCCACATCCACACCTCCTTCACTTTCATCGAGCTGCCACGTTAAAGGGGGTCGCATGCTTGAGCGTTCTTGGTTTGCCATGAGACTTAGCTCAGTCACCTTCAGAACCTGGGGTAGAGACAACAAGAAAAACAACACAATGGTACGATGGTTGCATGTTGTGAAGATAAAGAACACAGACGAGGGTGACGTGTAAATCGTACAACAATGACATTACACTCGCGAATGGAAAATGGCAAGTCCTTTACCACAGCAAGGCAGCCCACCTCTCGACCGGCAAAGAGCTGCCGGAGTTTCACTGCTGCGAGCCGAGAAAACACTGGGTGCTCTTGAGCCTGTGGGAGTAAGTTGTATGTTCGCCAGGAGGGAGAGAGCGGGGAGGGAGTGTGGATGTGAAGGGTGAGGAAGCAAGAGAGGTTGGAGGGGGGATGACTCGCCTTGCAAAGGCACTAACATTATAACACAATCGAATATTCAGGATGTGTATCAGCGAGGGCTGACTGAAGTGCCACATGGTATGCTCCTAGAGTACCCTTCACATACCTCGTACAGGTGAGCCAGTCGCAGGAGAATTGCTCCTGGTGATACCTCCTGTTGGACGAACACGTGGGCGGCGAAGATGGGAGCAGGACAAAAACACACACAAACACACAAACAGAACTGTAACATACACGTGTATTGGGAGCGAGCTAGGAACAGCATGGACGGAAGGATATAAATTCTGGCAGAGGATGTCTACTGGATATTATTAGCAACTTAAGCTATTATTCTCATCAAGTGTACCTCCAATGTCGTTATAGCCACATTTCGAGGCAGCTGGTAGCTAGCTGAGGGTGCTGCCGCCTTCCCTCTGGTGCTGCCACGTGTCCCTGCCCTTGCCACCTCCTGCTGAGCGCTCTGGAAGAGGGAGTGGCGCCACAAGAACCCCGTCGCTCCTGTGCTGTCAGCAGCAGGTTCAGCAGATGTGCCAGAAACGTCGGTTGCAGCAGGGTCTGGAGTGTCAGCTGCAGCAGTGGCAGCAGCAGCTGCTGCTTCTGCTGCCTCTGCTGCGTCCGCTGCTTCTGTTTCTGCTGCTGCCAGATCCTCAGTCGACTGAAGAGACGAAGGAAATTGAGAAGAGAGAAGAAGCGCATGAGGAGGGAGTGTGGAGGAGAGCAACAGGCAGAGGAGGTGGACACAGCAGTAAGTGAGTGTGAACCCTCCGCCCTCACCTCCCTCCCACTGCATACGCTGCCCTGCACACACACACACACACACACACACACACACACACACACACACACACACACACACACACACACACACACACACACACATCCCCCCTTCTCCCCTATCCCTTGCCCTCCCCTTCCCAACCACACAAACCTCAATCTCTCACCTAGACAGAGAAAACGCTGCAGGGGAGAGAGCAGGCACTGAGTGTGGTCGCCTGATGCCTGCTGTGACATGTGAGTCAACTCAGAAGCCATCCCTCACCTCCTTTGAGTCGACTCAGAAGAGATCTCTCACCTGTTTTCGAGTGGACTAACAGCCCATTTCTCACCTCGACAGCGAAAGCTAGCTGCAGAGGGGACAGCATCCGCTGGCTGTGGTCTCTCAACCAGAAGGCCCCCGCTGCCGCCCCGCCTGATACTTGCTGCGACCTTTGAGCCAACTCAGGAGTCATTGCTCACCTCGACAGCAAAAGCGAGCTGCAGCGGGGACAGCATCCTCTGGGAGTGATCTCTCCGCCAGAAGGCCCCTGCTGCTGCCCCGCCTGATGCCTGCTGTGGGGGTGTGCCTGGCCGTGCCCGTGTGTCTGGCAGCACTGCGAAGCGGAGTGATCCCACCACCTGGACGCCCAAGGGAGGGAAGTGACTTGGGCTCCGGTTTACAGGCAAAGAAACAATGTTGACTCGACTCAAAAGGTGACCATCACCGCGAAAGGTGACCTCAAAAAGAGAGAACGATGTCGATCAGCGTCCAATGTTCAGAATTTGCGCTTAAATGCCAATTGATTTTTTGTTATATAGGCGCATTAGAACTTACGACAAGGTGGTAGCATTTATCCTCCACACAGACATCTTCGTTTAACGGCTCTCCAACTCCCTTGTTGTCCACCGTATCCAAGCGGCTGGAAATTTGGATAGCGGGATAAAAATATATATATTTAAAAACGACAAGCATTACAAAAGTTGCACGTATCACAGCAGAGGCCATTTTGACTGCAATTTAAACAGTTGACCCAGGCTGAAAATCAGGCCTCTGCTACAGGCGCTTAACCTTGCAGCATGAGTTGGGGACCTACGCTGAAACAATGCCGCTAGTACGCCGATACTTCAGGGGCTCACCGGTGCAGCGTGAAGCTCACCGGTGCAGCGTGAAGCTCACCGGTCCGGTTTGCAGCGTGAAGCTCATCAGTGCGGTGTGAAGATCACAGGTGCAGCATGAGTTGAGTTGTAGGCTCACCGGTGCAGCATGAGTTGAGTTGTAGGCTCACCGGTGCAGCATGAGTTGAGTTGTAGGCTCACCGTGCAGCATGACTTCGAGCTGTCCGGCTGCCAGGCTGGCAGCACCGGCTGCTCGGTCCACCAGCAGCGACAGCTGTGCCTCGCCATCCCCGATGAACGCGCCCACCGTCACCTGCGGGAGGGATGGGGGTGATGGATGGGAGAGGGGTGGGAATGAGGGTGAGAGAGGGGCGGGAGTGAGGGGTG